CCCAGAAGAATTCGCCCCCCTGCCTCTCTCTCAAAGAATCTTCGGGAGCAGCAGCAACTGCACCGAGCATCACACAGCATTTAACCAAGAATCTCATCACTACCGGACCCTCCCGCCAGCCAGGCTCCCATCCAAATGCCAGCGATCCCCCATCGAGGGCCGACTGTGGCTCTGGGCACCGGCAGCAGCCTCGTGTCAGTGACCAGCACTGCTGGGACGCAGGGCTGCCTTGCCACCTCACCTTTTTGAGAACGGGACCTCTGACGTGACCGTGATCTTGCTCTTGCTCCTCTCGATAGTCACCACACCCCCACCCAGGTTTCCCGCTTTGCCGTTCACCTTGATCCTTTCCTGCAGGAACTGCTCCTGTGAGAAAGGAACGCTGCCGCTTAGCTGGGGCCGCCAGCTCCCACTGGGCAAAGCCTCCCAGCTCCCTCGTGCCTGGCGCTTCGGCTTTTTGCTTCAGAGCCAGGAAAGAGAGGGAAGTGCTGTTACATCCAGGGAAAGCTAGCAGGCCGAGAGACTCCAAGCCTGCCAGCACCTTCCACACCTAACCCAACCAGCCCATTCAGACCTGCACATAAGCGAGGTTCTCAAGTCTGAACACACGGGATTAGCAAGGTAGGGCCATACTTCCTGCCTCCCAAGGAGTAGCCAGTGAAGCAATGGTGGGGTTAGGATCTTCCAAGGACACCTTGGCCACAGCCCTGCATTGCCAACCCGTGCTCAAGCAGTTTGAATTAAAAGGGTTTCAGCAGACAGCGCTGACATGCAACACTCCCTGCCCTTGCCGTTCCTCATGGCATAACGGAAAACTTGCCCCACAAGGGATGAATGGTAGCGCTGTTCCACAGGCAGGAAGAATGCTTGCACTTTCACTACAAAGTGTTTAAAAACAATAGACATCTCACAGCCTCCAGCAGCACCCAGGCTCCCTTTGTCTGCAGGGCATTTCCCAGTGGCACAGGCTTTTATGCTGTGCCATGGTGAGAGGCAGAAACAGAGAGCAGGGGCGGTGGGGCCTG